CTGGGTAATTTTGGGGAGCAGGAACCAGTCAGAGTCAGGCAGGGCTGGGAGCTCCCTGCGAGCTCTGTGCCGGGGGCTCGCAGGGCTCCTCACGCTCATCCGGCAGCTGCTGGAGCAAAAACAGCTTTGCAGCAATATTTAGAGAGAGGAAGGAAGGAAGGAAGAAAGGAGAGCCCCAGAGATTTAGAAAAAAAACCCCTTTTCTTTACCTTTATGTCTTAAAATACATTGTAAAACCTGGAGTGTTTCTGTGGGCTGGGGCTCAGATGGCTCAAAGCTTTTCCACGTTTTTCCATCCTGTGAGTCTTTGGCTCCTCGGGGTGCTGGGAGCTCTGAGCTCCACTTTGCAGCTGGGAGGATTCAGCAGCTTAATCCTGGAATCCCAGAATGGTCTGGGTTGGAAGGGACCTTAAACCTCACCCCATTCCAGCCCCTGTTACGGGCAGGGACAGCTTCCACTAGACCTGGTCATTCCAAGCCTCATCCAACTTGGTTTTCCTCCTCTCCATGCACTGAAACCTTTCCCCACATTTCTGCTCCAGCCAAGTTGCCAAGAAACCCTCTTTTTATAAAAATCTTGTTCTTCCATGGTGTTCTAGACCTCGTAATTCCAACTCTCCATAAGGAAAACCTCTCTCCCACAACACCTGTGATGCCCTGAGCAGAAAGATCCCTGCTGGGTCACAGCTGGAGGGTGGGAAGTCACCTGCAGCATGGGTGGCTGTCCTTGAGCAAATCCTGGATCTTTTGAGAAGTAAATCCACCCCTGCATCCTTTAGGAAGTGAATCCATCCCTGGATCCTTTGGGAGGTGAATCCACCCCTGGATCCACTGGGAAGTGAATTCATCCCTGGATCCTTTGGGAGGTGAATCCATCCCTGGATCCTTTGGGAAGTGGGTCCATCCCTGGATCCTTTGGGAATTGTGTCCCTGCAGCAGGCCAGGGCGAGGAGCTGCTGAGTCACGAGGCGAGGCTGAGTCAAGGAATTGAGAGGAAAATTAATGAGAATTGTTCCCAAAAATGGAGATGTGGAGAGCTGGGTGCTGTGCTGGGGGGGACCTGCCCTGTGTCAGCTCCCTCAGGATGCTCCCAGGAAAGGAAACAGCCCCAGGGAAGGCAGGGAGATGGAGAAATCCCTCAGGGTGGCCTGAAGGGATGCAGAGCCACCCCAGAGGAGGGGCACAGCCACCCAGAGCGTCCCCCTGTGTCCCTGGCACAGCTCAGAGCTTGTTCCTGCTGCTGGAAGCACCAGATGGGAGTTCTCAGGTGGCTCCTGAGGTTGGGCTCAAACCCAGGGCTGTGCCCACCTGCCTGGGCCAGGGGGCTGCTGAGGGGTCTGGTTTTATTCTGCCTGGTTTTTCAGAGCCTCAGAAATGCTGCTGTCACATTTGGCTGGTATTATCCAGCTGATTCCAGTTTTTAAGGATGGAGGAATTTTCTTTTTATCATTCCATGAAAGGGGGGGAGCAACCAAGTGGGGGTCGGGCTCTGTTCCCAGGGAACAGGGACAGGAAAGAGGAAACAGCTTCAAATTATGCCAGGGGAGGTTTAGACTGGATGTTAGGAAAAATTTCTTCACAAAAAAATGGTTGTCCAGACCAGGCACAGCTGCCCAGGGCAGTGGTGGATTCACCATCCTGCAGGGATTTCAAAGCTGTGTGGATGTGGCACTTGGGGACAGGGTCAGTGGTGGCCTTGGCAGTGCTGGGGGAAGGTTGGACTGGATGATATTAGAGGGCTTTTCCAACCTAAACCCCAGGGGACCCCAGAGACTTCTCTTTTTCTTAGGACATGAGGCCAAACCCCTTTTAGGTGCTGCCCAGGGCTGTCTCTGAGAGAGCCTTTCCTGCAGGAAGCACAGGGATGCTCAAGGCACGGGCTCCTGGCCCTTCCTGCCAAATCCCCTGGCCTTGAGCAGGGCTGCCTTCCCATATCCAGGGGGGAGAAATGCTCCAAGGGCTTTATTGCAGTGACCCACTAACCCAGCTGGCAACGGGACACTGCTGGCCGAGGCTGAATCCCTGCTCTTATCCCAGCCCTGCTTCCCTGCAAACATCCCAAAGCAGCGAGCATCCTGTGAGCCCCTGGTGCGTGCTGCAGCCCCCAGCCCCTCTCCCATGGCCGGGAATGCCGCTTCCTTTCCTGGCTGCCCCGGGAGAGGTGAGCGTTTCCTGCTGCTGCCCTTATCTCTGCCGGCTGCAGGGGCTCAGCAATTCCAGCGCTGCCAGGCTCCGGGGAGAGGCTGCAGGGATTTCCTGCCTCGGCAGCCTCTGAGCCAGGGATTCCTCTGCTTTTCCAGCCCAGGGGAAGGTGAGCCTTCGGCAGGACAGGGAAGTGCCGGCCTCCCCCGGCAGCCACATCTGGCAGGAGTGTGAGCAGTGGCTTGTCCTGGATTTCCCAGTTTAGCACAGGGAGTTGGGAGTGCCTGCTGGGTGGGGACAGATCCACCCTCAGCCCCATCCCAGATCTCCCCCATTTCCATAATGTCAGCACATCTGTTTCTGCCCAAAATGCCCCCCAGGAAACGGCTCTGGATTGTTTTTATGCCCAGGCTGAGAGGAGGGATGGACCCTGCAGCCAGAGGCTCTGCTGAGGCACATGGAAGTGATTACAGGGTCCCTGTGCCACCTCCCTTCCCAGCACAGGGTGTGGGCCAGCACAGCCTGTCCCTGTCCCCATCCATATCCTGTCCCCAGCCTCATCCTTGTCCCCATTCCCATCTTCATCTTCATCCCCAGCCCCATCCTCATCCCTATCCCTATCCCCAATCCTATCTACATCCCAAAATCTATTCCTATTCCTGTGCCCATCCTTGTTCCTTTCCTCACCTTCCTCTTCATTTTCTATTGCCCATCCTCATCCTTGTCCCATCCTCATCCATATCCCCATCCCCATCCTTGTCTCCATCTTTATCCCTGGTCTCCTATACCCATCCCTGTTCCTGTCCCCATCCCTGTCTCTCCCTGTCCCATTCCCATCTCCCCATCCTCATCTCTGACCCCATTCACACCATAGTCCCCATCCTTATCCTCATCCCATTTCTTGTCTCCATCCTCTTCCTCATCCCTCATCACTCCAATCCCTGTTCCCATCCCCTCTAAGGCTCCCAGCTTCTCCCAAAGCCACAGGGATTCCCCTGCCAGCAGGATTCTGCTCCCAAGGACAGGACAGATCCCAGCTCTTCCCAGCTGCCATTTTTTAACTGATTGGTGCCATCCTGGCTCCGAGAGTTGGAAAAATTCACTTTTTAGCATCCTAAAGGCTGCAGGAAGCCTGGCAGCTCCTCCTTCCCTGTCCAGAGGATTCTCAGGGCCCGTGGTTTGGATTTTTAACAGCCCTCAAAGATCTCATGGAGCAGCAAGGCTCTCCTCCCTTTCCCTCCCTCACTTCCTGCCCCCTCTGCCCATTGCCACCTCCGAGGTGCCACCAAATGCCACCATTCCCCACGGGAGTGACATCCCAGCTGGGATCTCACCAGGCAGAGGAGCTGCTGGCCCCCTGCAGCTCCCAATTTCCCTGGAGAGCCGTGGAGGTGTTTGAGCTTCAAAGAAAAGCCACACTTTGGCACGGGAAGCTCCTCAAAGGCTGCGGATCATGTCCAGCTGGCCTGGACCCCGCTCAAAGTCCTAATGGTTTTCCATGGCCAGGCAAATGACTCCTTCCAGGGGCTGGAGCCAGCCAGCTGCCTGCAGCCAAGGGGCAGCGGCTTCTCCAGATGTGGCCCCAGCAGTGACATCCCTGGAACAGCCAGACTTCAATCCCAGCACCAGTGGGAGCTGCTTCCCAGGGTGAGCAGGATGCAGTGGATTGCACTCAGCTAGGATGGAGGGGACAGGGCCCACAGTGACAAATCCCTGTCACTGCAATAGACGGGGTGGAGGGTGTCCAGCTGCTTCCCGTGTGAGGATTCCTGTCGGGAATGCCGTGAACGTGTCCCTGATTTATTTCCCTCGACAGCCTACGGGGGTTTGACACTTCCCTCCTTGTTATCTGGCATTCCTCGGGCATGGCTGTGCCTTGGGACAGATGCAGTCTCCAGGCCAGGGAGGGGAAAAACGCTCCAAGAAGCTGGAGCAGAGTTTTTTGGCTGCTCCCAACCCGGATTTCCAGGAGCACTCATGGAGTGCAGCTGTCGGGATTTGAGCTCTTCCTGCCCTCCGCCGCTGTGGGTGCTCCCACCCCGACCCAAAGGCAGGGAATTCTCCTAGATCCATCGAGATGGAGATGATGGATGAAGGGACAGAGGAAGGATAAACAGCACTGACCCTGCGTGCGTGGGGGGCCGCTGGCCGACCGCCTGCCAGCTGAGCTGCACCACAGATTTTGGCCGGGGGCTGCCCGTGTCCTCCCCCCGCGGCTCCCCGAGGGATGAGGAGTCACGTTTCTTCCCGGCTCAAGGGATCAGGATCCGAGCGGGGAGCGGGGAGCGGCCGGAGCCTCCCGCCCATGCCGCGACCCCGGCCCCGACCCCGGCTGGACGCGGGCCCGGCCCCGGGGACGTTGAAACGAGCGGGGGGGACGGGGGGCTCCAGGAGGGGATCCCACGCTTCTTTCCGGGATGCCGGTACCGGGGAACGGGGGGTTCCAAGAGGGGATCCTACCCTAATTCCCGGGATGCCGGTACCGGGGGGATAGGGGTTCCAAGAGGGGATCCTACCCTAATTCCCGGGATGCCGGTACCGGGGGGATAGGGAGCTCCAAGAGGGGATCCCACGCTCCTTCCCGGGATGCCCCTACCGGGGGACGGGGGGCTCCAAGAGGGGATCCCACTCCTTCCCGGGATGCCCCTTCGGGACACCGCCGCTCCGGTACCCCGCTCCCCCCGGGGTGCCGGTACCGGGAGGGGCGGTGGGGGCCTCAACCCTGGACGGATTTTGGGTGAGATCTGATTGGCTCAGGACGGGGACGGCCGCAGCTTGGCCACGCCCCTCGGGCTGCTCCCCGTGCCGTCCCGCCCCGCGGGGCCGGGGTCGCCCCGTCCGGCTCGGCTCAGCTCCGCTCCGCTCGGCTCGGCTCCGCTCCGCTCGGCACCGTCGGGGGCTCCCGTGGCCGCTGTGGGGATGCGGGCGCTGGCGGCGCTGCTGGCGGCCGTGCTGGCGGTGGGGGCAGCCCTGCCCCGCCCGGGGCTGCTCCCGCACGGCCCGGCCCGCGGCGATGCCCGGCTCCGGCCCGGGGACGACGAGAGCTCTCCCGGGCTGCTGCTCCGCCGCGCCCTGCGCCTCTACGGCCGCGCCGCCCGCCGCCTCTTCGTGAGTGCCGCTGGCCCCGCTCCCTTCTCCTTCCCTGCCCTCCTTCCCCGCGGCCGCTCTCACTCCCGACCCCGCTTCTTCCTCTCCATCATCTGCCTCTGTCCCTCCGTCTTCACTCCGTTCATCTCTCCACCCTCTGTCCCTCCCTCCTTCCAACCCTGTCTCTCTCCATCTTCCCACTCTGCTTCCCTCCATCCCTCTGTCCCACCATCCCTCCTTTCCTCTGGCTTTTCACCCCTCCATCTTTCCGTCCTTCCTCCCACTCAGCCCCTTCCTCCCCTGCCTTCACATCCCCTCCTCCTCCTCCTGCCCGCCCCTGCCCCTCCATGTGCACCTTCGCTGTCTCACCGCACGTGTTTTCCCCGTCCATCCATCCATCCATCCATCCATCCATCCATCCATCCATCCATCATTTCCCCCTTCCCGCGGTCTCCTGCCCGCTGTCTCGGGAGGAACAAGAGGGCTTTCTCCTCCGCTTTCTCCCCCGCAGCTGTTCCCCCGCAGCAGCGGCTGCAGCTGGGACGGCCCCCGAGCCGCAGCTCCCTGGGGGATGGAGAAGCCCGAGGTCTTTGTTTTCTGCCCGGCCGGATGGGGCCACGCGGCCTCAGGGCTCTCACTGCACCGGGGAGGGGGGCACAGGGCCAGGGGACCAGCAGTGGTGGCACCTCTGCAGCTCCTGAGCGCCCTGCACCGCTCTCCCCGCAGGTGGGGACCAACGGGGTCATCTCCACCCAGGATTTCCCCAGGGAGACCCAGTACGTGGATGACGATTTCCCCACAGACTTCCCCGTCATCGCCCCCTTCCTGGCCGACCTGGACACCTCCGGGGACAGAGGGAACATCTACTACCGGCAGGATGACTCCAGGGACGTGCTGGAGCAGGCTGTGCGATACATCCAGGCCGGCTTTCCCCGCTCTGCTGGCGCCTTCGTGCCCACCAATGCCTTCATTGCCACCTGGGAGGAGGTGGGAGCCTACCAGGAGCTCTCCCAGGACACCGAGCCCTCCACGAAGGTGAGGCCAAGGGGCTGAGCTTGGTGCCCATCCTACATGTCACAGGAGGATGAGTTTTTCTTGTGTACCCAGAATGCTGGGTCTTCTTTCTGAGCAGCTGGATGGTGGCTCCATCCATCCATAATTGGAGCTTTCCCCCTCTGCTCAGAGCTTGGCAGTGGTGGGGCTGTCGGCCACAAGAGGTTTAGAGGTTGCCTTCATAGCTGGAGGTGCTTGAACAAGGACATGGAGTGACAGGACAAGGGAGAATGGCTTCACATTGCTTGGATCAGGTGTTAGGAAGAAATTCTTGGCTGTGAGGGAGGTGAGGCCCTGGCCCAGGGTGCCCAGAGCAGCTGTGGCTGCCCCTGGATCCCTGGCAGAGTGCCCAAGGCCAGGTTGGACAGGGCTTGGAGCAGCCTGGGATAGTGGAAAGTGTCCCTGCCATGGCAGGGGTGGAATGGGATGAGTTTTAAGATCCCTCAAACCATTCCATGATTCTGATTCTTTTCAGACAAAGCTTTCCAGTGCTGGTAGCTCTGGCTTTGCAGGGCAGAGGGTGGCTGGGGGCAGCTGGGGAGGCCCTGGTTTAGGTCACCCATTGTGCTCCTGACCTTTCCTGGTGGCTCGGGGCCGCTCCTTCCTCCTGCCCCTGTGCTGATGGCGCTGCTGGTGAGCAACCAGCTCTGGAATTTCCACCGTGGGCTGATTTTGTGCCTGGAAAACAAGCTCAAAGGTGGTCTGCCAGCTCGGGGGGTGACCCGTGCTCTCCTCCCACGGGGCTGATAAGGCTCCTGCGTGGGTGGATGTCCATGAGCTGTCACATCAGGCTGATGACGTGCTGAGGAGGTGACAGTGACGCCCCGCCAGCTGCACAGACTCCCAACAGCTGAAAAGGATGAGCTGCACGAGGAAAACTCCAGTGGTGGACACCCAGAGCTGGGTGATGGGTGATGGGCTGTCCCCCAAAGCCCAGCAGCAGCCACCAGGTCCCCAAGGAGCAGCAGGAGCCATCCCCCCGCTCCGGGGCCCTTCGGTAGCGCCTTTCCCAGAGGGAAGCCAAGCAAGGCAAGGAGCTGAGGTTTGGAAGGAGACAAGGCACATTTTTTCCTCTCATTTAAAAGTTGGGAAAACAGCTGAAGAGATGCCATCAGGGGCCTCACAGCGACCTCGTGGCCATCGAGAACGCAGCCTCCTCTTCTTTTCTCTTCCTCGTTGTGTTTTTTTGGTTTTTTTTCCCCCTCTGAGAAGTTTGGATCAGGCTTTAAAATGAAACTGGTCTTGTTAGGAAACGAGGAGCTCCAGGGAAAGCTCCTGAAAGGCAGCTTATGCCTGTGCTTTGCTGAGCTCCCCCTTCGCCAAAACTGCTAAAAATCTCCCCAAACACCACTTTTTTTTTTTTTTTTTCTTTTTTTTTTTTTTTTTTTTTTTTTTTTTTCTCTTT